TCGTAACTTAGATGCAGTAAAAGATTATAGGTATTCTATCCACATGTCCTATTCAATAAGCAGTAAAAATTTAATTTTTGTGTCTGATATTATGTAACTTGAATTATGATTTAAGTTGTTTCATTTTGCTTTAAGTTTGCAGAAAGCTATGATCAATCATGTTAAGTATCGCGAATTTGGAGATTTTTAGAATATAAATATTGCACACACAAAAACAACACCATACAAAATCTCAAAAAATGATAAAAAGATATACAATTGGCTTCTACGTAATTAAGAATCGTCTAAACCAGGCGTTTTAAGAATATAAGAATTTTAAATAAGAGTAATATCTCACCACATTCTAATGCGTATTTCAGGTGTTTATGCAAACTGAGTTGGTGTCTTGAAAAGGGAGGATCATATTTTTTGGTGTTTTTTGGAAAAATAAGAAAATTGTAAAAAGCATTCAGAATTGGCAACTTGGAAATTTATGCTCCATAGATAACATGCAGATCAGATCTAAACATTTTTGATTGATTAGACTATTCACCGGCTTCAATTTTGCAAATCACTTTCATATTCACGACTTCTTTCTTTATTAAATAATTTCACAATACTTTGTAAAAAGGAATACAATTTTTATTTTATTTGCGTATTTTTAGACTTACAAAATATTTTCAAATATACGTCTTATGAGATTATTTGACTCATTTTAAAACATTGATTTTACAAAATTTCTGTATTAGTAGTTAGAACTCATCTTCAATTTTAACATTACTTTTTGTCCATGTCATAATTTGTTTTATAAAAGTGCAGATGTTCATCTGAGTAAAGAAGTATTTTTTTTTCAAATATCTACAATTTTCTTTTGTTGATTGGAACAACAGCTGCATATACTTGTGAGATGACAGATATGGACTAGTGTTCAACAGGTCATGACTAACAGCATTTGAAAAATAAACGATCTAGTTTGAGAACATTCTTCTTTTATTGATCGCCCTCTTCTTGGTTTACTTCTTAGTTCTGATTGAGAAAGAGCTCTTGATCATTTTGTTCCTTGATCGACTGAGGTTTGTGTTATCGCTTGGTGGACGTCGCCCGATGAGACCGAGTAATCTTCTTCATGGCAGAATGATAAGGAGCGGCCGTGTTCTTGAGTGTGGAATTCGGACTGTCGATGGCGGATCTACGCTCCATTGAGGCCGGTTCCCTTCGCCGAGCATTATGTCGTCCGGCCGGCGTTGCCCGCTCGCGCGGCTTTCTGTCCGTTCTGCGAGAGAAGTACGTCGTTCCTTTAAAGTCAGGGGTGGCGTAGTCCTGCACTCCGAGGTAGTTCATACAGTGGTACATATGAAATCGCATTGCATTAAGAAACATTGCGATACAATAGTAATCAATAATAATAATAATAATAATAATAATGTCTCAGTGGTGAAGAGGAGGCAATAAAGCCACTTATATATAATCACTTGAATTATAAAAAAAACATTTAAAAAATTGAAAAGTTAAAAAAAATGTTTTTTTTGATTTATTAATGTTTTCGGAACCGTTAACTACTAAGGTAATTAATATCACACTGTAAGTGCAGTGCAGGATTTTTATCACGGGAGGTGGAGGCAATCTTTCCTCCGCTGGATGGCGAGATCCGGTGGCGACCTCCACGGGCTCCCTTGCAGAATTTTCCCCCTTCAGATATCTCCCACCAACGGGGCACCGCACCAGCCTGGAGAAGTTATAAGTTCCTGGTTCGTCTCCCGACTAATGGAGACAAGCTCTAAGCCCCGGTCTACTGAATAGCACGTAAGTTAGGGGAGAGGATGAGACAAGTAAGAGGAAGGTAACGTTTTGCATGGTGAATGAAGAAAACCCTCAGTCAGGATGTTGGTTTAGCGGCGAACACCAAACCATTAAAAGAAATATAATATTATAATATTTATCCAAAAAATGAATAGAAAATATGTGCAGGAGTATGGATCATAAAAGGTAAAAATGGAAAAGAAACCTAAAGGGGCTAAGAAGGCAAGAGGCAGGAGAAAGAGAAGAAGATATATGAAACGAGTTAGAATTTTACAGCCTTACAAAACTTTATGCTACTTATTCGAGGTGGTAAAAAGAGTAAAAATATTACAAAAACAGCTGTTAATTAAAAAATATCTTATAACATATTTATACGGATCCTACTACATTTCTCTGCATGCGTCTGCTATTAATTTGTTTCACATATTGGAATATCCAGAGATTGTAATTTCCGGTAATTGCTAAGCACAATGCCGGTCAAAAGTCAGAATACTGCCGGAAAAACCTATTTCTACATCTAGGTTTACAAGTGACCGCACTGACCGTTTGTGGTTCACTGCTCTTTTATCTCGCCGTCCATGATTCATAGTGAGAATCGCTGAAAACACGCTGTAGCTTTTCATTAGAGAACAGATGTTCGGCATGTAGCGGTTGTGATTACGATGCGAGATATATATGCGGATGTAGGAATAGTCCAGTCTCTCGGTGAGTGTATCTGACCACACACGATAAACGTTTGAGTGCCACTGTGATGACGGTACTCCAGAATATGCAGTTCTTAGAATATTGCAAAAAATGCTGGTTTTGTGCGAGAATTATTTTTTCCGGCTTTATGATGACATATTAATCGTACTCTCTCATCTTTTTGCGGTTTCAACATTGAAAACAATTTTGTTGGTGAGATGGAATTTCCTTCGAATTTAGATTTAGAATACTGTGATTTCAAATCGTTCGCAGGACTCCATCAATTAATCTAGTAGTTTCTTAAAAATATTTTTTTAAATAATTTTTCTCTCTTTGATATTTGTGTTCCGAAACAGGCAAAGGATATATCTCAATGTGGATTTTTTTACCATGAACATTAAAATTTCCTTCCGTAAGAATGTATCAATTGATCGCATTTTTAAATATTACTTAAGACCATTCGTGCTTTACTAATATATTATACTAATTGGCGCATGTTTTTGTCATACGTAAACTTGGTAATTTCATTTGCATTTGTGTTATTTGTATCTTGTACAAAACAATAAATATAAGTACATGATATTAGCGCTCGTGTTAATAATATATTATACTGAATGGATGTTAAATATCATAATTGTCCAGAACTCAATTTATGAAATGAAAAATTTAAAATACTTTAAAGATATCGATTTAAAACTTTTAAACAAATTGCATCAAAATTCTTGTTCTTAATCTTTGTCGGCTATATTGCTTGTATTATGACTGCATAATTAATTTCACGCTTATGCTGGACAAAATAATTGCGACTCCCACTTCTACAGTAAACGTGCACACTCCAATTATCATCCTCATTATCATCATCATCATCATCACCAACAGCATCGATAACATGGTCTAGATATGGTGGCATCTCTGAAGCAACTTCACTGTTCACTGACTTATTATTTAATCCATTGGGGGAACTATTTGAGAAGGCCGACATCCCAAAATCCAGAACTATTTGTGGAAATGAGAGAAGTTAAACAATTTTATGTGTTACAGACATTAACTTGGCTGGCTCTTTTCAAATCTATCATTTCTTTCAAATTGAAAATATTTCATTACTAGCAAAATACTGGGTGTTCCCCGGGCTTTCTTCATTCCTAATCCTTGTGAAAGAGGAAAAAATAAATTGTAATTAAACCAGGGTGTTTAATATAATTATTTTTAATGTAATGTGTCCAAATTTTAATATAATACTATAATTTTCATTCATTTTATTATACAGTACATTGTTATTAAATTACAAATTTGTATCTTGCGCTCTACTTATGATCATTGACCAATATGTTAGGTACCAGTACTACAGCACCGCTACTGGCGTAATATATTAGGAACCGATCTCCTCTTAGAGACTGTAGTAGAAATAGTGATCGTTGTGCATCTACCAACATATTATTTAAATTATATATTTTCCGTATTTATATTGTGTTAATATTTCCCAAACTTTGCAAGGACACTACAACAATTCTGAAGAAGAGTCTGTAAAGTATCCTGTCTACTCATTCATTACTTTTTGTGATATCGATGTCGGTTACACGTCGTTGAATTCACTTTTATAAAAAAAAGTACTAATTAGTGTAGATTTCCAGACTTCAGTGTTCTTGTTTTGATCGAAGAGGTTGTAACCGACAGTTGAAAAGTATTTTACTTCTACTGAACGTTCTTTTCACTTATGCTCTATTGACAAGACCAGTTAGAATTCGAACACTTCATTCTCAGGCAAAAGCCAGTGCGAAGATAACGACTTTCACTTTCATTTAATTTTCACTGGCTGGAGTTGTAAATGACCGTCCTTCGGTTGTCCGTTTCTCGCTGGCAGATTTTCTCCTTTCCCATTCGCTTTTTACCGCGTGCAGGCGATGAGCCGACCCGTGCAAACTTCCGGCGGTAATTGCATTCTGGATAGGAGCCACGCCTTTTCCGGTAAAAAGTGCTTCGAACCTACTTTTAGCACTATAAGGAATCGATGCAGGGAGATTTCGTAGTCGACGTGTTGTGTGATGCAGATTGAGCTGGTTTTTATCCACGCGGAGTTTGGGAGAGACATAATGGACGTTAGTGTAACCACAATCTTTTAGTTTGAATTTCAGATTACACCCAGATTAATTTACATTTTGGTTTTTTTTGCCAACTACAGGGGGAGATGGCGTAGAATCGAGATTATGCAGCATGAACCTAAAAGAACGTTTCCATCTGTGACACTTTATTATTTAAAAAATACCCATTCAGCACCTGCCTTGAGCGATACGAAGTAATTCGTCTATTTTCCTTATTTTATTACGTCCTTGGTTCATTTGTTACCATTACCCTGGTATACCAGTTATCGTAATGTATATGAAATTTTAATAAGTGTTGATGCCACAAAAACTTTTGAAACGCTAGAGCGACTGCTGCGAACTTTTGCACTAACGCCTTTGAACAGTTGAGAAAAAAATAGAGATTCACAATCTCTATATGTAACCCTAAATTTGGTAAGGATTCATTTTTTTTTACAGGAAACCCGCAAAGCAAAGCTTTATGGACAGGTGGCGATGTTCCTGCTACGCAGCCAGGTGGAGCAAAAATAAATTCCTATACAACGATGGATTTCTTCCGGTAATCTAATTTATGTTTTAAACTTTTTTCAATTAAGATAAGGTAAAAAGATGTTTCTTTTCTAACCAGTAAATTATATAATTAAAAAATAACGGAAATAACTACAGATATTAGGTGGTGTCGGATCCGCAAGGAGAACGAAACAGAAAAATGATGTATCATTAAACAGTAATCTAGAATGTATTATCACATTCGGACAATTCCTCAAAATTGAAAGGAACCCAAAATGAAGTTCGCAACAATATCTACTATTAGATGCTCATTGTTACGAAATGACAGATTTCTACCGGCAACAACATTTCCTTTTAAGTGCGATAAGCGTGACCAAACAATCACATATATTTTCCGTGGTTGCTTGTTAGAAATCATCTCCTCACGTTCGTTTTCCGCTGAATGACACGGATATAATTACGTGAAGTAGAGAACGGCGATCACTGTTCACTGGAACAAATATCATAGAAAACGTACAGACTGCTTTTAGGATCAATTTATCCTTCAGCGAGATGTAAAGTGTATGTAATCACCTGCACGGCTGGGTTTTGACAATTAGTGATGGAAGTTGTGTCACCGATTCCATTGGTTTGGGGCATCCTGTGAAGTGAAGGGCACGAATTACCGTCAGTCAGTAGCGGTCCACGGTTCACATTCCTGTCGACTGTTGCGGAATGTGTGGTGGACAAAGCCGGAACATTACCTGTTTTCTCCAGCTTCTCCCTTGTCTCTTCGTTCTAACATCGTTTCATCGTAATAATATTTTTATAATTATCATCACAATCAACAGACTCCAAGATAGTTCATTGGCAGCGTACTAGCTTCCCGTAGTGTTTGATTTCTGATCGAGGCAAAAATTGAGTTATAGCTTTCCTTTAAAAAGTGTTTCTGTGGCTGTGTGACAACGAATGTTTCCTAGTAGCAGTGAAGGGAATACGTCATGTTTGCCATATGTTTCTCTTACCCCCCCCTTCATGCGTGGGAATTTAACAAGGCCCAGGCATGTAGAACATTAGTCAGCAAAGTCGGACTATCGTCCCAAAATGCCAAATGCGTACATCATAATCAACACCTATCACACATCCATCTAAACAATTCGTCCTACTCAGGTATGAAAGCAAAATGTATAGTACGTACTGAAGATTATTATAATCACATAACTGACAGACATTGTTTGTCTGTCCCCCTGTCAGTCTGGCGTTCCTTGGAGTCTTGCAGTTGCGTGTCTTGCAGCCATCTATGTCATTAACAGTGATGCACTGAAAATTATATTAGAGGGAAGAGAGTAGAAATTAGAGTAGGGGGAATGATACAGTGAAGTATTTATATTTTCCGAAACTATTTTGATCGATTTTTCATGGTAATACGTAACTAAACCATAGTCGTATCTCACATGGGCAGTCTCTTTATACTTTTCTTTTAATAATATATATCATATATATAATATATATAAAATATATATATATATGTGTGTATATATATATATATATATGTGTGTATATATATATTACGGTAACGTTGACACGTCTGATGCTGTCAGAGGCTGAATAGAGCCTACTGGTTTAACTAACCCACAGTATAATTAGGAGTTTTCTCTAAATTATATTTTTTCATATATAGAAGAGATAACACGTAGCGTATGTATGTTACATGATATCATTGAACATTTGTCACTTTACCAGGTCATAAACGGTCAAGTTTCTTGGGTGCTGGTTGGATGCGAATAAAACATACACGGTCCACATCCAAGCTCGAAATTTTGCTTTGAGTTCGCGAAGTAGGGTAATAAAGTAGACACACGATGAGAAACTTACGTTCAAAACTATGCTGTGCAGCAGTTACTTCAGGGTACATTCAAGCGCCGGAACCATTTGAGTGACGTGCAGTCCTGAATGTTTCACACAGAGCACTTCTATTCAGGGTACGGGTACTCAAGAAACTTACTTTCGAAGAAAATCAGAAGCGGGCGGGTTTCGTTCCTGACAGTTGTGCCCGTCGTACAGACGCTCGTATTAACAGATTGGAACTCTGTAGTATTCCGGGCGTCTGGGGAGAAACTCGTCCTATTCAGACTTCAAACAAAACTCTTAAGAACTTATGGCAAAACGAAGATCTAGCTTGCACGTCTTCCCTTCACAAGTTTTAGAGATGAACATTTCAAATAGAAATTAATCTGAAATGCAGAGCTAACATTCCCAACCGCTCGAGTCGAATCTTAGCGCCGAACTAAACTGTTAATGTAGTTGAGTCAAATACTGTCTTTATCAAATGAAGTTAAATATTATATTTGTGTAATTTTTGGAAAAAATGAATACAACAAAATTAATTGTACGTCATCTTAAACAGTGCAATTAGCACTATCTGTTGGAAAAGTGTGAAAAAAATATTGGAGCCGTTTTAGAGAAAACGGTGTTTGAGAGTTTCTGAATATCAGAAATTTTGAGCTCATTTTAACGGAAAACAGTAAAGTTTTCGGGAAACTATATATCACATTATTTAAAGCAAAACTTCATGGTGACTTAAAAATATGTATTAAAGTGGTTAATTACATAAAATAACGCTTTAAATACTCAACTTTTTAAAGTTCTTTTCGAAATTTTAGAAACATATCATAAAACACTTATTTTGTAGGTACGCTGGTTACGCAAAGGAGGTATGTTTGCAACGTTATTTGACCTCCGAAATGGTTGTGACAACATTTACAGACTAACAAGGGATCCTTTCTGTGTCAACATCGACTCCCTGCCCGAAGCACTTTAAGAACATGCTTTAGAAAAAAATGATGCTGCCAACTACGATTTTGATAAAAGGAACAAATTATGGTTTTGGGTTAAGTATTTCGAAGTATAACACAGTGTATCGCAGCAAGCGCTGCGATTGTATCTACCTTTCTCAAGCAATTTTTGTGTGAGAAAACGCTTGCAGCAATTGTTGAAATTAAAACAAAGTACCGGAGCAAACTTGACGTTGTTAATAATTTACGTTGTGCACCTTTTGACACAAGGATAGGGAATCTAGTAAAAATTGCAAGCTTAACCTTCTTACTGATTTTACTTGTCATAAATCGTATTGGATTTTTTTTTACTGCACACCTCAAAAGGCAACCGAACAAATCTACAAGTGGTCAGAAAACCACAATTAACTTCTAATATTGTAAAGAGGGAAAAAATAAATGTATTCAATATAATACTTGATTTACTCATTGCCAAATAAAAGTGCAAGACGGACGTGAGAAGTTTTCCTCTTACCAGATGGGGGCGTGTTAAAACAAACGTTTGGGAACCTCTGCCTTAGACCCTTGTGTTTTATACTCTCTTCCTCTCATGCTCTTCCCTATTGTGGTTGCATTCCACACGAGCACACGTGACACGTGCCCAAGCTGACCCACTGTGTTCGCGATGTCACAACGTGAGTAGCGGACGATGCACTTGGATAGTGATATCAAACATCTACTCCTCACGTGAGGGTATTTTTCGCTTTGCGTAAAAGCAACGTTTAAAACATAAAACACATGCCCGTAATAACTACTCGCGTAGCGTCACTACGTAGAAGAATGTCTGCAATGAACTATGACTGTTATTACCACTGACAAGTTTGCGTAAACGTTTGAGACGTCTTTCGTAAATCGCAAGCCCTATGTCAGGCGCACACACACCCCAAGAGAGAGATTGGTGAGAATGGAATTTCCTTCGAATTTAGATTTAGAATACCTGTGAATTTCAAATCGTTCGCAGGACTCCATCATTAATCTAGGTAGTTTCTTAAAATATTTTTTAACAATAATTTTTCTCTCTTTGAGGGATATTTGTGTTCCGAAACAGGCCAAAGGATATATCTCAATGTGGTTTTTACCATGAACATTTAAAATTTCCTGTTCGTAAGAATGGTATCAAATTTGATCGCAATTTTTAAATAATTACTCTAAGACCATTCGTGCTTTGAAATATATTATACTAATTGGCGCATGTTTTTTGGTCAATACGTTAAACTTGGTAATTTCATTTGCATTTTGTGTTTTTTTGTTTGCATTTGTACTTACCTATTTTATTGTTTTGTAGCATGATATTAGCGCACGTGTTTAATAATATATTATACTGAATGGATGTTAAATATCATAATGTCCAGAACTCCAAATTTATGAAATGAAAATTTAAAATACTTTAAAGATTTTCGATTATAAAACTTTTAACAAACTCTCGCATCAAAAATTCTTGGGTTCTTAATCTTTGCGGCGACATTGCTTGTATTAAGACTGCAATACTTAATTTCACGCTTATGCTGGACAAAACATTGCGACTCCCACTTCTACAGTAAAACGTGCACACTCCAATTATATCCTCTCATTATATCCATCATCACAACAGCAATCGATAACATGGCTCTAGATATGGTGGGCTGATTCCAATCTCTGAAGCAACTTCACTGTTCACATGACTTATATTTAAATCCATTGGTGGAACTATTTGAGAAGGCCGCATTCCAAAATGCCAGAATTATTTGTGGAAATGAAAGGAGTTTTTAAAAACAATTTTTATGTGTTCACCATGACATTAACTTGAACTGGCTTCTTTTCAAATCTATCATTCTTTCAAATTGAAATATTTCATCTACTAGCGAAGAATACTAGGCTGTTCCCGGGCTTTCCTTCCATACCCGGCCAATCTTGTGAAAGAGGAAAAATAAATTGTATGTAAACCAGGGTCGGGTTTAATATAATTATTTTTAATCGTAATGTGTCCACATTTTAATGATACAATACATAATTTTCATTTCATTTTATTACAGTACATTGGTTATTAGATTCACAATTTGTATCTTCCGCTCTTACTTATGATCATCTGATCAATATGTTAGGTACCAGTACAATACTACCGCTACTGCGGTAATGTATAGGAAACCGATCTTCCTCTTTAGAAACTGGCAAAAATAGTGATCGTGGTGCATCTACTCAACATATTATTTAAAATATATATCTTCCGTATTTATGTTGTGTTAAATTTCCCAAACTT